TATATACTGAATGACATTTCTTCTGATTCCAGGCCAGTAGAATAAAGCCAGTACCCTATGTAAACATCCCCTCTGACCAGAATGCCCTCCAATAGCTGAGTCATGTAAGGCTCTAATTAAGTTGGTTTTGACATTATTAGCAGACCCCGTGTATAATTTTCCTCTAAACTTGAGCACTTCATTCTCCATTTGATAATCTAAATTTGCATTAGGATCTTATAGCAACTTAGATAACTTCAGTTGAGCCTCTGCATTCCCATTATAGCTCTTAAGTAGCTCCTGCATCCAGGCTTGTTGGACTATGAAAATGGCACAGTTTTGGTGCACAACTACATTACTGTCACTGAATTCCTCCATTCTCCTCCTAGAGATGGTATCAGCTACTCCATTTCTGAGCCTTTCTTGTACTGTAACTCATAGTCCAGCCAAGCAATTTGGCAAGCCATTTGTGTTTCAATGGATGTGTAAGCCTTTGCTTCAGTAGGTGTTTGAGGGTTTGGTGACCTATCCTAATGACAGAGTGATGACCAACTAAATAGTGCTTCCATTTGGTTACAGCTAGCACTAAAATAAATAGCTCCTTTTCATACACTGATAGTCCAAGGTTTGAAGTTGATAAGGCTTTACTAAGGAAGGCTATAGGATGTCCCTGCTGCATCAGTATTGCTCCAATGCCTACTCCACATGCATCAATTTCTATTACAAAAGGGAGTTCAAAGTTTGACTTACTCAGTACTGGTGTTGTAGTAATAGCCCTTTTTAGATCTTCAAAGGCTATTTGAGTATTATGGTTTCATACAAACCCCTCATTCTTTAGTAGCTGAGTTAATGGCTTACAGATCAATCCATACCCCTTAATGAATCTCCTATAATATCCAATTAAATCCAAAAAAACTCCTCAATTTTTTGATTGTATTGGGAATAGGCCAAGCTTTTATGCACTCTACCTTAGTTAAATCCATACTTACTCTCACCTCAGAGATCACATGCCCCAAGTATTCTATTGAAGTCTGAGCAAATGAATATTTTGATTTCTTACAATACAACTAATTTTCAGCCAAAACTCTAAGCATAGTTTGCAGATGTTGTGCATGCAACTCTAAAGTTGGATTGTAAATCAGAATATCATCAAAAAAAAAAAAACTAAAACAAACTTTCTCAGATATAGTTGAACTATCATGTTCATTAGGGCCTGAAATGTAGTTGATGCATTTGTCAGTCCAAGAGACATTACTAGAAATTCAAAGTGACCATGATGTGTTTAGAAAGCAGTCTTAAGGGTGTCTACTGTTTTAACCCTCAGTTGATGATAACTAATTCTAAGGTCTAGTTTGGGAATGTATTTTATGTCATGCAGCGCATCTAGTAACTCATCTATATTTGGGATGGGAAACTTGTCTTTTACAGTTAACTCATTCAGTTTCCTGTAATCAATGCACAATCTCCAAGAATTGTCCTTCTTTTTAACTAACAACATAGGGGAGGCAAAGAGACTGGTGCTGTGCATAATGATCCCATTTGTGAGCATTTTCAACAACCTGTTTTTTAATTTCTGCTTTATGGGAATGGGGGTACCTGTATAGTTTGAGCTTGAAAGGTTCAACTCTTGGTTTAAGAATGATCTGGTGCTCCAACTCTCTTTCTCTCTGAGGGTAGTTCTTTTGGAGAGTAAACACCTGGGAGTATTGTTGCAGAACTTTCTCTATAGGTTTAGAAAGCTTTTTCTCTGAATCTGTTTTAAGTTCCGCTTGCATTGCTGCACAACTCCTCTGCTTTTCCTGTATAAATTATCTGAGATCCTTCCCTCTCACTAGTTCCATTGTAGGTTGATTTACAAAGCTTTAGAGGTGCAGTAAATCCCCTCTGCTACTAAGAGCAATGCTAAGAGTATGGAAGTCAAAAGTAGTAGGACTGAATTGACATATCCAGTCCACTCTAAGGATAATATCCCATTCTCCCAATTCCATTGTCTTTAGATCAAACTGAAATTGATAGTCTTGGATCAACCAGGTCACTTTGGGATAGATTGCCCCACTAATTATGTCAGTCCCATCTATTAGGATCATAATGAAAGGATTAACTATATGATGTGGTAGGTGCAATAGGTTGACAACCTTATGATAAATGAAACTATCAGAACTCCCTATATCTACCAGAATCTTGATTGGTAATCTCCCTAGATTACCCATCAGTATAATTGATTTTCTCTTTATGGCTTTAGATAAGGCATTTAAGGATACATCAGCAAGTTTCCCAACTCTACCCCGTGTGCTCATCTTGCTTTCCTTCTGTTTTTTCAAAGTCAGTTTCTTCTTCCACATCAGTGCCTATACAGTTCAAACTCCCTAATTTATACTGATGGCCGACTCCAAACCTCTTTCCACATCTGTAACAAAGTTATGCTTGCGCCTATACTACATTTCCTCAGCTGAAATCTTACTAAATTCTCTATGTGTAGAATCAATCTTCTTGAAAACTAGAGCAATTGCAAGAAATTTGTATAAGTTATAGTGATTCTGTCCACTCACAGAGTTCCCATACATCCCAAATTTTAGGTCTACTGCAATCTTTTCAGAAGACTTAGATTGTTTCGATTGGATTTTCAAGGATCATTCTTGTAGTTTAGCAACTTCAAAGGCTTTTGTCAATGTATACGGTTTGAACATCTTTACCATTGGTTTGATTTTATTCTTCAGGCCACTAACAAAACTGGAAACAAAGTAGGATTTATCTAACTTTGGATTCCTGGTCAGCATTAGGGTCTTCAACTCTTCAAATTTCTCCTCATACTCCTCTACTGTACCCTTTTGTTGCAATTTATTGAATTCCTCTACTATGTCAAGGGAATCTTTTCGAGAAAACCTTTCACACAACAACTCACTAAATTCCCCCTAAGACAGGCCAGGCCTTGCTAACTTCATCCTTTGGAACAATTGTCAGCCTTCCCTTCTAAGAACATTTCAGCCATATCTAACTTCTGGTTCTTTGGTATTTGATATATAATTCAGGAAATATTTCTGACACTTTCTCAACCACTCCCTAGGGTTGCCTGAAAAAAAGATTGTAACTCTATTCGAGGCAAATTAGGTACGAATAGTTTACCTTTAGGTTCATGTTGGAATCCTGGCACATCCGCTGGAGTCGTCAACCTCAGATGTGCCAGTGGAGTTGGTAGAATTGGTTCTGATACTTCAACGTCGTTGTCCTGAAGCCCTTTCTCCTTCATCATTAGCTTTAGCAAGGTATTGAACTGTTGCTCCATCTTGTTGAACTTCTGGTCAAGATTTCCTACCATTGCCTCCAATTTGAAGTTATTTTGTTCCATCTCATCATGAAACTTCTATTGCAACTCTTCCTGACACGAAGCTTGGAAAGTGGCCATGGATTCCACTAGCTCTTGAAGTCAATTCTTCTGTTTCTTGAGTTGGTCTTCCAAGGATCAATATTGAGTGCTTTCTACCATGATTGATATCACTAACAGCCAAGAATCGATTACTCTGATACCAAATGTCAGGTTTCAGAGATAATTTCCTAGTTAAAGCCAGAATCAGAGAGAATGGGAGAGAAAGAAGAAGAAGAAGAATGAGAAAGTGAGAAGAAAGAATATAACATAATAGATAGAGAAACAATTTCTTGCATTCAATTCCATAATTGTTTTCTGTTACAAGAGGACTATTTATGCAATTATCCTAACTAGTTGCAACAAGGAAATAACCGTCATCTTAAGTCTAGCATTCATGGTAGTTAATCCTCCTGACTCAAATGCACAACTTCATGTATAAAATGACACCCTCTTTTATTTTGAAGATCCTGACTCACAGCTCCTCGTATGGTGTTTTATAGCCATCAAATCTTTAGCCAACAAAAGGTTTCAACTGATGACAAAATTGGAAGTTCAACTACTAACTAGTTCATCCAATAATTCAATAACTATTATGTTATTTTTAATAACTCAAAAATAATTGTTTTGTGATATAGTATAACACGCGGTTCAACTGATAAATCTACAATTGAACTGATGACCTTCCCGGGTGGGTTGATGTCCGGGCAGGTTTAATAACTGTGATATATACTACTATTAAATAAAATTGTTCTATGCTATTTAAGGTCTCTCTCTGTGGACAAATCATATGCCCTTAGACAAATTCCAAGTCTTGGCTCCCCAGGAGGTTATCATTATGGATCTTACATGGGTGGATAAATTATATAAAGGGAAAATGGCAGTCGATAGATTTTAGTTTCCTATAGTTTAGATTTGACTTTGTTAGGCCTTCTTCAACGTCTCCCTATATGAAGTGTAAGCAAAAGTTTGATGTTAAATAATTATTCGACTCTCTCAATGTAAAGCGTCAGCAAATGTTTGATATTAAATAATTGTGTGTTATTTGTTAGTATTTTCTTTTAAGATTCAAGTTTCAGCTTAATATGTCCATCTATTATGTGCCAAACTTTCACTCTACTTCTGGTAAGTGTTGCCATCACTTTTTCAAATAATTGCTCCTCTTAGGATATTGCACATCTACATCTCTACTTTTTTTTTTTTTAAAGAGTAAGTAGGAGGTTCGAATGCGAGATTCTCTGACTTACATTTCTTCTTTCAAACTATCCAACCTATCCCTTTCGCTCCTGCTATTTAATAAACTATTAATTAACAAAAACCAACGATAACTTTCTCTTTTTTCACAACAAGAAAATCACTCTCATTTATAAGCCCAGTAAAATTTTAATAATCGCCAACAAATTTTTCTTTCCTTTATAAAATTTTTTTTTAATGTGAAGTTGTGCACACACATAGTGACAATGTCTTGTGAATTGATAAGTTTAATGTAAAGACGGTGACACACATGAAGACGCAAGTCCATCTGTTGGATGAACAGTGCCCAAGCCCAAAAACAATTGCATATGACCCAAAGGAGGGCTTTTAAGAAATTCTAGAGAACCTTGAATAACAGTACACTATTCTTTTTTTCCTTTTGAAAGTAATACCAGTATACTTTCAGGACCCCTGAAAGGGGCAAGGATCCAAGTTTATCAGGTTAAAGCAAAAGGCCCAGCTTATACAAAGGTCTTCATCACTCCCTGACGCACTAAGAAACACACAGAGACTAGAGTTTCTTCAACTTCGAAGGGGTCGGTAACAGGGATGAAAACAAAAGAGGTACTTTGCAAATTTGTCCTTAGCCAATCACATAGCCTGAGTTTTCATGTTTCTTAGTGTTAAGTTTGTGCATTTCTTGGGAAATTTTGTAATTATGCCTGAGGATGGGAAATGTAGTGTTTTCTGGGGTTGAAAGATTGGAGCTTTTCTCAGTTCTTTTTTATGGATTTTTTTTTGGGCTGTTCAGACTTAGATGAATTGCATTCTTTTCATTTCTGCCGCGTTTGGTGGCTTGAAATTGATGGTTTTAAAGAAAATGATAATATGGTTACAAAAGCAAGATGCTGACAGACACCAAGCAAGCCTGATTTTTGTTGTTGATGTTAAAGTTGGCGATTCCCCTCGTGCGTAATCATGACAAAGGATATAACTCTTCACTCCATGAATTAGATGAGGGTTCAAAATGATGCCTTAAGGGTTGCATTGCTCTTGTCTGGACTCCATTATACTGCTCGCTGTATGCCAGTGATCACCTTGCATTTTGCTTTTAAAATTCATCATGCTCACCCCGTATGTCTTTCCCACGGTTAATAGGAAAGTCTGTATAACTCATCACAAAGTCTGGATATTGATTGTGAAAGTTGATTGACTTGTAACAAGTTGATTTTTTTGAGCTTTCTTTCCACTTACCTTCACCAAAACCTAATTCCTCCAACGCCATTCTACTCTCTCTCTCTCTCTCTCAAACACAGACGCTCTGTGTTTGTCTCTCATACACACTCACAAACTCGCAAAATAAAATTGAAAAGATAAACCTTTCTTTTTATTTTATTTTATGTTATTGTTAATTTTTTTTAAAGCCAAATGATGCCGTTGAGAAAGGGCTCAATGGAAGCTAACTTTGAAGGTTTTCATAATTTCTCTCAAGCTTCACTTGGGCATTCCTTGAGGATAAGCATTGTAATCATGAGGTGAATATGTTGCTTAATGTCATTAATCAGGTCTCATCATAGTAGAATTCAGGTTTTGGAAGTTCACTAACTTTCTAGATTTTCATCTCCCAAAGTCTTGTAATGGTTTTCTGAGTGAGCCTTGATACCCACAACTAACCATTTAAACATATACACTCAAGTTCATTGTAACTTTCTCAATTTAATTTGAGTTTTGTAAAAAATTAACACATGGACCCAAATGAACAAGTGCCGCTAGCACTCCTTGGACAAACTCATATAATAATAGAACCATTGCTTAGTTTTCTACCTTGTTTACTCTTCTGCCAAAGCTCCCTATTTTCCTCGTCTTGATTGGGTTACCCTTGAAGGGTATAGTTCTTAGGCCCTAGATCCTTCATTTTATTGTAGGCAAGATCCCCCTGGTCTTATATCACTAGCATGAGAACCCTATAGTTTACAGGTCTGTTCTTCATAGAGTAACCAACCACCCATTCTGTAACTTGAATTCTCCATAAACCATTGTAAGTAAAAGAGAATCAAATATGTACAACTGTAGATTGTACTCTAAGGATGTGTAACATATACCATGATGGTAAATCTAATCTTATCAAAAGTAAGTTTGTTCTCAGGTCTAGAAGTAAAAAAGATCAGTTCCACAAGTCAGAAATATTTATATAGATGACAATACCTTAAACTGCTTAGATTTTAGATAAGAAAACCATTGGACATGTTTGTCCTGTTGCATGGCTGAGCTTAGTGGTGTAGGTTATTGTGCTGAGATTAACATCCAGAGTTGTGCATTCACTATTTTAAGCAACCGTAGGCACTAGCTAAGACTGTGAATCTGGTTCTTAACTTGGAAGTTATTACCATTACTACTCTAGTAAAGCATGAGCACCCCATTTGATTTAAGAACTTTTTCATTTTTAAGTGTTCTGATAAAACAAGTTGAACTGAAACTTTTGCCTTGGTACCCAAACCATGACTCAACTTTGACTCAATTGAAAATTTTCCAATTGAAAGATCTGAACTTGGTCCTTATATAGGCCATTACAAGTAGGGGACAGATGCATGAAGAATTAATCCAATCTGAACAACTTTAATCGAGTAAATGATAACCTAAATATTGAAATATAGTAGCATATTTTGGAACATTGAGATATGCTAACAGACTTGGAGGAAACAGTTTGCATATGCTTGAATTAGATAATAGCCTCACGCTTATGTTACATATCACATTCTATTACTTCGCTTTAACCACTAATGAGTAACCTACCTCCTTCAACCAACTATGGTGTGTTTTTTTCACTATTAATTTGTTATTTTTGAAGAAGGCGGAGGCCACAAAGTCAAGGTAGGGGCCATTGGACCAACAAGAAAAAGGTGATAACAGACTTTGTCTGGAAGTTGATAGCATGGGTGACAGTTTTTATTACTAGTATACATAACTTTTCACTTTGATGGGAAGTGAGAACATAAATGGCTAAATACTTAGAAAAGTAAATCTATGCAATGCCCTTGAATGCGTGGTGGTTTAGGGAGTGCATTTTCTTGGTATAAAATGGTACCTATGTGACCAGAATATAGCATGACTTGAGATAACTTTCTCCTATGTCTTCTAACATCTAATATACCCCACAGAATTCCCTCTATGCATTTAATTTGTTTATTTGTTCTAGTGCAACTTGTTTGTTTTCGCCTTTTTGTCATTCATGTTCCTTTTCCATTCCATCTTCTAATTAATGCACATTTTCATGAGAAAGCTGATGCAGAATGTTGAAAGTGAAGAAGTTAATATTTATCCGAAACAACATGTGATTGCCCCTGAAAAGAAAGATGAATTTGGGGGTTTAGGTGGAGAGAATCATGAAGGTGAAGGGAAATCTGATCTGGGACCAGTAGAAAAAGTCACTGCCTTGGAAAAGAAAAATGAATTTGTGGATTTAGTTGGAGAGCAGCAAGAACATAATTGGGGGCCTGAAGTGAAATCTGATCTGGGACAAGTAAAAAAAATCAATGCCTCTGATAAAAAAGTGGAATCTGTGGATTTAGTTGGAGAGCAGCAGGAACAGAATCATGAAAGTGAAGTGAAGTCTTATCTGGAACAAGTAGAAACCATCAGTGCCTCTGAGAAAAAAGTGCAATATGTGGGTTTAGTTGCACAGCAGCATGAACAGAACTGTGAAGGTGAAGTGAAATCTGAGTTGGAACAAGCAAGAATTGGCTCTGCAAAGAAAGGTGAACTTGAGGGTTTAGATGATGAGCACCTAAATCAGAATCGTGAAAGAGATGAAGAGGTTTTCTATCTGAGACAAGTAAGTAGCTTGATTGCTGATGACAACAAAGATGAACTTGTGGGTTTGCTCAAAGAGAAGCTAGAAAGGAATGTTTCTGGGATCTCTTCTCTTAAACTGGAGAGTTTGTTGACCATGGTTTGTCAATGCAGAGCAAAGAGTTGTGCTACTGCTCTTGTTGCAGGAGAGGCTGGACTAAAATTAGATCTCCATGCCAAACTGAGTAGTGGAGAATACCCATTGCATGTTGCTGCTCATAATCTGTCATTTGAACTAGTAAACTTGTTTCTCCAACTAGGAGCACAGACAAATGTAGTTGGTAGCAGCGGGAAGCTCCCATTGCACATGGCAGTTGAGGCAATAAGGTTCTTTTTTTGACTTTCAATCACTACCCGATAGTCCATGAGTTGGTTCTATATGGATCTCATCCTTTACGGGCCCATTATGCTTTTATTGCCCATCAATTTATGGCATTAAGTAACACTAACTACATGATTTTCTCAATCGCTAGTTTGTTAGGTTCAATAAATTTATGCAGTTCTCTGTTGCTAGGTTTCATGGATATATGCTTTACTTTCTTTTCCAGTTTCATTTTTTACAACAGTTGGAATTTTAGATGATATTTTTTCGTTATTTTACCTTATTGAAAAGCTCAAGCTATTAAGTTTGATTGACTAAGTTAACTGTGCATTGATATATATATATTTTGTGGTACAAGATGTAGCTTTTAATTACTTTATAATAGAAAAAAGGAAATATATATAGAACTTAGAGGGGGTGGATGGGTTTGTGAGCTTCAATGAGCACCATCATCACAGTTGGACTAGTTAGTGGAATGTGCAGTTTCAAAAGTCTCCATTTGGGCCTGTGCATTGTGTTTGACCAACTATTTCATTGCTTTAGGTGAAGTGCAAAAACTTTGGGAGTTCTTGAGTATAAAAATAATTATATCTAACTTTTGTAGAGAGTGGAATCCATGCATTTGAGAAAATGTTTTTATGTAATCCCTGACAGATATAGCTATTTGATGTCAATTAGGCATTTATTTCATGCATCTATGTTGGCTGGCGTTTTGTTCTATAGATGTATGTATTTTATATGCACACTTGTTCTTCCAATAAAAGTATATCTGCCTTCTTACGGCTGCTGTGTTTAAGATGTTCATAATCTATTTCATACATCTGTTGCTGCTATTGTCCATTTGATGTTAGGGTTGTGGCTCTTGCACGAGTCGGTGCCTTCTTTTAATTCTTTGGACCAATTTATTACCTTTGAATCTTTCTAATGTTTTATTATGCTTTTTTCCTTCTCATTCCAGCCGTCATGACTTTCTTGCCGATTGGATCCCCGAAAAGTCCATCCATAAGTTAATTTATTTGCTTTGTTTACCAGATCTGGTAGGTTTAACCACACTCATCTTTTAAGTCTTATAATTGATTCTGTGAAAGGGAAGAGCGAAAATTTCCTATTGAAGTTTGTCTTTTATTTTGTTTTTGGCAGCACAAACCGCTGGAGGTCGTGAATTTGCTTGCACAGAGTTCTGGAGAGGTTCAATCAGTAGCCAAGCACTGTGTTGAAGATGGGAATCTTGTTCAGATTGCTACATTGCTGATGGGGGCCAGGGAAAAGCTTCTGGAACCCGTTCCAGGCTATGAAACCGAAGGTCCCATCCTCGGGCTGTACATTGCAAAGAAGTTGAGATCATTAACTTGTGAGGAGTTCAGACTGATTGCATATGGTAAACGTGAAGAGATTAGGCCTTTCAGGAGCAAGAAAGATGCACTTCTGTCTGCAGTATCATTGCTTCAAGTTTTTGAGTCGGCTGGTGGTGCCATTGAGGACTACTGTCATAGCAATACTAGGGTATGTTTGTTAAGGTTAATGGTGCTAATAACCTATTTTTGTGTTTTCATAGGATTATCATCATTTCTATTGTGATGGGGTTAATTATTATTGTGCTTCTAGTATTTTCTATTTCCTGTTCTTTTGTGTCCGTTGAGTGAACAGTTGTGTTGTCTTCTCAAAGGTGGCTATTGTTGACTTGCTGCCATTCAATTTGTAATGAGCCTAGTTTTTTTGCTTGTGTTTGTAGTAAGGCTAGGGTATCTTTTGCAGAGTTCACTAAATAATAAAGTGGCAAAGGATATTCATTGCTTGTTGTGGAAATTTGGATTTCTTGGGTCTCGGGAGCACATAAACAGGTAAGCCTGTTCTTAGTTTTGTTTCATAGTCTGTGTCATTTCATCACTCACAATGGAATTGTTTAGCGTTTCACTAATTTCAGTTATTGCTTCTCTTTTGCTTTTCATCTTTCCCCTTTGATAAATTTTTATGCTTTGGAATGTGATGATACCCTGCTGTTGGGTGAGCAAGTTGTCTTTCAAATTTGGGAAAGTTGGAGAAAGGTAATTTGTCCTTATATGATTAAATATGTTTTATGTTGTGTAGTTTTCCTGAAATAAAAAAAGACTAAAAGAGAGAAAATGAAACCAGATACAAATACTAATAAAGCGAATCAGCAATAAGGATGTCTCTGATATTTCTTTGTTGTTTTGCAGCAAAGCTCATTCAATCTGTTAATCTGACGAGGAGCTTACCTGAGGTAAGATCTCTAAAAATTGGACTAAATCTTGCATCTTTTTTTTTTTGAGATGTCCTGTAGTGTGCGCCCATATTTTTAATGTAGTCAAACTGGTTTTCTTAAACTTTTTTAAGAATACTGAGTAAAAACTGAAATATTTTCAATTTATTGTTGAATGCTTTAGTTTTATTAGTCCAACATTTAGATTGTCATTGTTGCATCATGAAAAGCAATTCTCATGGTTGAATATACTCAGCTCTCACTTTGAGTAGGAAGGAATCCTCTCCCCACGTGGAGTTTCTTGTTTTGGCAGTATTAGGTCCCTGGTGGGTGAGACATTCCGCTAGTCCACGAGCCCTTCTGCAATAGACTGGTTAACTTTGTATACTTGATGTGACCAATGCGATCATTGATACTGTATACTATTTTTGCCTGTAAAATTCTGTAGCTTGTACGGGGAAGTAGGAAGGCTGGATCTCAGCTTACTCCACGGGTTTATAGTCCCCTGAACCAGTCATTCCATTCTTGTACTTGGGCAAATACTGCCAAAGGTGTCAAGCTTGTTTCACCAGTCCGAACTCAAGCGGATGGAATCATCAATCAGGCAATGAAACCACTGATGCGGAAGTTTACAACAGCAGCACAAATGTCTGTCATGGGTTTGAGCATGAGGAGGAGGATTCGATACTGAGAATGTTCCTGCGGTTAGGTTAGGTGGGTTAGGACTTTGGATTGTTAGTTGTTACCCCCATATTGAGCTGGTAGAATTGATGTATATCTAGATATTGCCTCCTCCTCTACTATGTAATGCATGTCGTTGTTTTGCCAAAAAGTCTGCCCTAAGAGACTTTTGGCAAATATTTGTGTGTTGCAACAATCCAGCGTGGATGGAAAGCTGCGAGGCTTCTAATGATTCACTGTTCCAACTAAAATGTCTTTGACATGTGTAGCCTAAGACCTTAACGTGCTCTGGGATTTTCTGTTTGTATATTTCTTCAATTTGAAGGTGTTGGTGCAACTAGCCCTGGCATTGGCTGGCTAGTGTGCTACTTATTTCTGTGCACGCGAAGATTTTGGGGAAAATACTACTGAAATAAGAATTCCCTGATTTACCCTGTTGAAATCTTTCAGCAAAGTTTTCGTCGTAGTTGGGAAATTGCTACGAGGATGATAGACAATCACAGTTGCATCGGCATCAGTAAACCATGCAAGATCCCGTCAAATTCCCCAACATCCGTTGAAAAACTTAAAAACCCATTTTGTGATCCCCGTCAAATGGCGTAACATTTATTTGGATGGCCACGTTTCTGAGTATACGAGGTAAAAATTCCAAACACACAATTTCAAACCGTTTTTGGGTCTCATAGGTGCATCATACGTTTACTACAGTTAGATGTGTTGAAATCACTTCGGTTGGACTGCCATTTTTTTGTATAATTTTTTTTTAGAAAAATATACTCTAGTGAGTCGATCGATATAAAGTACAAAGAGATTTGAAAAATGTGATCACAAAAAACATAAAAAAATTTTGATAGCAATTTGCTGTATATGAAATAATAAAAAGGTGTTTGAAAGATATGATGATCATGAAATATATAAAATTAACTTCAATCCAAACATAATACTAACAATAGTGAGATTTTTTGCACAAGCAACCATAATTGCATGCCACATACACACTATTTGAGTTTCAAACTTGGCTTCATGTTATTTGCACTAGTGAAAGAAAATTATACATTAACAGTGTATGAAAAACAACTCTTTCTATTTTAGAAAGGAAACAAACAAGGATCTCAATTACAAGTGTAAAAAAAAATGAGTTTATTGCCAAAATAAGGCTCCGTTTGGAACCTGAGTTTTTGAAAGTTTGGTTAAAACTTTACTGTAGTACACTGTAGAAGTTTTTGGAAAAATTTTTTAAGATGAAAAACTTTTTTTTCCTTTTTTTTTCTTTCTTTTTCTTTTTCTTTCTTTCCTTTTTCTTTTCTTTCCTCTCTTCTTCTTCTTTTTCTTCCTTCCCCCTCTCTCTTCCCTCCCCCGTCACCTCTGCCTCTGCCATTGAAGAACTGGCAGATGGTCCAATTTTTTTTTTCTTTCTTTCCTTTTTCTTTTCTTTCCTCTCTTCTTCTTCCTTCCCTCTCCCCTTTCTCTCCCCCGCCACCTCTGTCTCCAGCGTTGAAGAACCAGCAGCCATGGTCCCAAAATTTTTTCCTTTTTCTCTTCCCCTCTTCTCCCTCTCCCTCTCCCTCTCCCTCTCCCTTTCCCTCTCTGCTCCCCTCTCCCTCTCTACTCCCCTTCACCCTCCCTCTCTCCCTCCCGAAGCCAGAGAACCAATAGCCATGGTTTTTTCTTTTATTTATTTATTTTTTGCTTTTTCTCTCCCCCTCTTCTCCATCTCCATCTCCCCCTCTCCTCCCCTTTCCTACTCCCCTCCCATTCCCACTCCCCCTTTGCCCAATGTGGTCGCGTGACCAGATCGCAGATGCGGTCTAGTACAGCGGCTGGCTGCGATCTGATCGCACGACCAGATCGCGCAGGGTTTGTTTGGATAGTGAGTTATTTGAGATTTTTTTACTGTAACACTTTTTGTGATGTGATGTATGTGAGATAAAAAGGTAATTGAGAAGATAAAAAGTTGTATTGGCAATTGTAATTATGACATAAACAAATATATTTGGGAAAATAACCCACTATCCAAACAAATCCGCAACTAGGGGAAGGGGGAGGGTGGCCGGGGAGGGGGAGAGAGGGAGAGAGAGAGGAAAAAAAGAAAAAAGAAAAGAGAGGGGTTGCAGATCGGTCAAAGGGAGAGGGGGAGAGGGAGAGGGAGAAAGGAAAAAATAAAGGAAGGCCGGCGCCAGAAGCAGCGGTGGAGGTGGTGGCTGGCGATGAAGGTGTGGTGGATAGGGGTGGTGGAGAAAGAAAAAGAAAAGAGAAAGTTTTTCGTGTATTAGATATTTTGAAGTGTGAAGGTTAAAAAATTTGATAAGTTTTTTTGGGTTCCTGTAACTAAAGTTGTTAAAAAGCTAGTAGCTAACAAACTTCTCAAAAAACTTGGGTTCCAAACAGGGCCTAAGTCTCCTTCCAAAACATGTACCCAAAGTAACTTAATTTTATATTTTATTACATTTATAATCTTTTTTTGCTACATAGGCTGCATATGTGCCAGAATGGAAATAAGGGCATGCTCCATTTATCTTTCCTATTTAATAAATTTCTAGATTTTCTCTCCAAAGCTTTGCACAATTTTGTCTTTTCATTATCTTTCCATTGTCAAATGTAATTCTAAGAATCCAATATTTATATTAACAGTATCTAAAACTTTAATATCATCCTTGAAATTGTTTCAGTGGATTAAAAATATTCTTCTCGAACTAATAATCTTAAGGTAAATGAAGATTATTCTCTTATTTTTTCTATTGTGCAGTTTTTGGGACATTCTTATGGCCTTCAAAAAATTATGAATATTAATTGTTTAACAAATGATTTCTCACACCATGTATTTGATAAAATATCTAGAAGGAACCACTCTATAACAACATAGATTCGTGTTTAGGATCCTATTCGCCTTTTATGCTTGTTAATTACATATATAATAATGCAGTAGTTTTCAATTTGCAATTCAAATTTTGAAAATCTTGGCTTGATTACTTTTTTTAAAAACTTATTTCAAGGAGTAGAAAGGATAGTATAAACAAATATGATAGTCTTGAAGTTTTTGTAACTTTTCTCGTTATTGCTTATAATTTTCATTGCAATTTTTGTCGCAAATTTTATATATTTCAAATTTATTTTTTGAAAAATATATGCAATAGGTTTGATACATTTGAAAAAAATGCAGAGCCCAAAAATAGCAAGGTCAATAATGGTAGAATTTATTTTAAATAATTATAAGGAATTATCAAATTTATGCAATTTTCTTGTGCCTCTATAATAAAAAAAATTAATTTTTTAGTTCATGTTGGAAACTATAAACTAAATTAAGACTTTTTTTTCTTGTTATCTTACATGACAATTAGGTTGCAACAATAATATCATTATAGAAGTAAAATTTGAAAGTAAATCACATTGAGAATATTTTATAGAAAGAGTGTTATTTTGATTAAAAAAAACTCATAAAAAAGTTATACATTGACATACACAAGTGGAATTGGAAGCGGGGTGTATCTACATGTAATAGGAGAAATAAAAAAGGCGCTCCCTCCATTTCATTAAATTGTCATACTTTCCATCCATTTTGGGATTTGTTGTACTTTTCTATTTTGGAATGTTCCAAAATTAAGAAGATAAAAAACTTGGGGAGCCCCTAAACTATTATCGTTGTTTACTTTTGGCCTCTCATCTAAATTTTGTTTCTGATTGCTACTTGAACAATTAAAACTGCACACTTTAAGGATTTTCGGTGACTTTAGGCATAAATTTGGCCGTATTCAAAGGATGGAAATCCTCAAAAGAGATAACCCATCAATTTCTTAAGCACACCATTAAATTCTTCTTCACAAATCTTGTGAAAAAAAATTGAAGGGTTATCTTTTTTGAGGGTTTTTGATGCTGATTGCAAAGGTTCAATTATGAATAGACAAAAATGCCTTTTAAGTTTAGCCAAATTTTTGCCTAAAGTCACAGCAAGTTCTTAACGTGTGCAGTTTTAATTGTTCAAGGGCCAATCAGAAATAAAATTTTGATGAGGAGCTAAGAGTAGACAACGGCAATAGGCAATAGTTTAGGGGCTCTTCAGATTTTTTACTCCAAATCACTTTTTAATCACTCGATCACTTTAATTAATCATATCATGTACATATTATTATTTAAATTTAAAATTTTAATTTATAGATATAAAATTGAAAAAAATTACAATAATTACAATCAAATCATATATTTTGGGGGTGTTTTTGAAAAACTTTATTGTAGCAGAGTTTTTAGAGTATATTTTGAAATATTTTTAGAATATGTTTTAAGATATTTAAGAGTAGAAGAGTTTCTAAAATATATTTTGAGATATTTTTTAAAATTTTAAAAAAATTTAAACTAATTTTTAGATTACCTTTTAGAGTATTTTTTAAAAAATTTTATTATATTTAAAAAATTATTTTTTAAAAAACACTCCAAAAAAGGTTCCAAATAGAGCAAATTATTTTTAAAAATAAATGTTTGACAAAATAATTGGGATGACAGAGTGAATATAAAACGTGAATAGCCAGGTCCCAATCTCAATTTCATTTGGTGAGAGAGAAAAAGGTTAAAACCTAAGGGCCAACCTGAACAGAATAGAGCCTGCATGAATTTAGGAGTTCACTAGTTTCTGTTTCTTCTGAGAAAGCATCAAGAAAGCCTCGTAATGCTTAGGCTGTTTTCATAATTTGGCATATTTGAGGAAAAAAAAAGGTCTTTTTTCGGTGATTAAAATCAGGACTCGTTTGACCGGTTTTTGTGGTTTCCACGCCGTCCTGTTTATGCGGTGCAGACAAATTCTACTACCGTCGGAATGGAAAAGGTGTGTTCTTCTCTCTTTGTTCGAGGTTTACTTCTTGAATCTGCTTTTATTGCTTCAATTGAAAGTGTTCTTATGGGGTTCAAGATAAAGTGGGGTTCAATAGATCGAAGCGATAAGACGGAGTGGGACGGTAGCTAGCTTAGTTGATCAAGCCTTTCTTTTGGGAAACATACAATGGTTTCAACTTTTGCTATAAGTGTCATGTTTTCTGCATGCTAGATAGCAAAGCAAACTGAGGAATGTAGTACCTCAGTGAAATGTTCAGCTGCTCACATCTTTTTGTGGGTTTTATTTGTTCCTTTTGTTTACTGATAGTATTTTTTTAAACGGCTGCTGAATTCTTTGAAGGATATATAGTAAACTTAATAACAAAATGTAAGAATATCGAAGGCTTTTAAAATTTTCGATATGTGAATATTTGTAGAATTTTTTCTAACTTCTGGTTATTTTCTTAGTGGTTTATTTCAACTAATACTTTTTATAGTACTTACATATTTAGGGGCTGCTTGGTTAAAGGGTTTGGGAATCACAGAATGAAATAAATCCCTTATTTGTTGCTTGGGTTAAGCCTATTGGAATGCAATTTTTGGAATCATTTCTAAAAAATTGACTTATCCCGTTCCCGAGCAAATTGGGAGGTTTTGGACAAAACCCTCAACTTATTCCTTTAGACAACATTTATGACGGACCTACCCTCTCTTTCTCTCCATCACACGCCGCACCTTCTGTTCTTTTTCTTTATCAGATTTCCTATCTCTTCTTCTTCATCATATAGTCTTCATCTCTTATCCAAAATTTCTTCTCCGTTGCCTCTGCAATTTTCTTCTCCGTATGCCAGCTTTTCTCTTCCTTCTTCTCTATTTTTTCAGGCGACTCACTGGCTAGCTAAAAATAAAAAAGGAAAGAAGGGAATCTGACACAATAACACTAACTGGACCAAAATGCTATGCTCTGGACCCATCACATTCTCACTTTTATTCCACTCACGCTACTCACTGTGTTTTCTTGCATTAAGCATTCAATGGAAGCTCAGAAATAAAAGGTCAATCGATTCTTGATCTTTTGGTTATTTGATCCATGAATACTGGTATAGTTTGGGTGGGCTTCTGGTTGCCTTGTACCTGTTTGTAAAATTGTCTGCCTGAATACCTTTCAGTTTCATTAGTTATGGGCATTAAATACAAAACCTGCCAGTTTCCCATAAAGAGCTGGTATGTTATGGGCAATTTCTTTTTTTTTTTTTAACTTTCACATATTTAATTTATGTTAAATACAAAACATACTAGTTTTCCTTTGGGCGCAATTTAACTAATTTTTCCCATAAAGAGTTGGTATGTTTCCCATAAAGAGCTGGTACAAAACATACTACAAAACCTACCAGTTTTCCATAAAGAGCTGGTATGTTATGCGCTATTTAACCAATTTTTCATATTTAAACAAATTTATGACAATTAAAATAACGTATTTGAAAGTTGCATTTTTATTTGGAAAAATGCATTCCTTGGATGCGTTTTTCACCCTTTGGGAAGAGATTCAAAAATCGCCACCATTTGGGAAGTTAGTTTAAAAACTCCATTTTTTTGGGAATTCACTCCTTGTTAATGCAGCCACTATATTTATTTTCTGGTATTAATTTTTTTTATGATTTATGATTTTCTTATGTTTTATCAAAAAGTTAATAACTATTGTAGTTACAATTATGGAGATGTTAATTTGTCGTATGTGTAATTCTTTTGTTTTATAAGAATTGTTATATCAGGGGTAAATTTGAAATTTAATTGCATTTAATTCCGAAACACTGATCAAATCAAGCATCAGGAATTGGAATGATACTAATTCCAATGTGTGAACCAAGCTAGCTATTGGAATGAAAAGTTTAATTCCAAAACCAGAGTCTATGATTCCATTTCCATTTCCGATTCCAATCTGTGAAACAAGCACCCCTTACTAAAACAGAAACTTGGTCTTGATAAATTTTTTTTTTTCATAAATTCTATGGAAATCAAGAGCGTTAGGACTCCAACACACCAGCGCCAATTCATATAGGAAAGAGAAAACTATGATCATTTTTAGTTCCCTATTGTCCTTCTGAAACTTGGGGTGATCGGAAACAGTTCCCAGCAGTCAGTATGTTACCCACAAGTTGATTTTGAGGTATTTGAACTGATTGGTCAATTTCCTTCGTGGGCTGGCGACTGTTGGTCACCCCTTCCTCTACCCTATTTTCATCTTTTATCTCCCCATATTTGAGTGGTTTCATCTTAGGAGTAAAAGATGCTAGCCACAATGCTTGAAGCATAAACAGCATCTCATGGCATTTGCTATTTTTTTTTAAAGTTATTTCAATATTGATGTAGTCACTGTCTTACTTATGTGTGTCTGTTTATATCTCTGACATTTTGTTTCTTGGTGACTTGACACGTGATTGGTTACCAAGCAGCCTGTCGCCATTTATGATGACCACTTTGCGAAGAGGGCTTCTACTTTTGCCTATAGGTATCAGGGCACAGAAAAGAAGCTGTCGACTTTCTCATACACCTATCATGACGATTTTGGTGAGCCATACGAGCCCTACTTGGATTTGGAGGAACTAATTGAGCGTGCTCTCCTGCATGATGATGTGGATGAATTTACTCCTTTGATAGATGAGTATAAAAGTGCAAAAGATGTGCCTGAATGGGTTTTGACTCAAATGTTTACACTCGATGCTGTCCAATGTTTTACTGCTGCGCTGAATGGGCAAACAAAAAGCAAATTTTGTTTATATGGACATGAATGTTTTTCTGGCTGTAGCAAGCCCCCCCTTTTGCATCTGGCAGCATCATATGCATCTGTTGAAATAACGAAAAAGTTGCTCGCCTGTGGGGCTGGAGCTGGAGTAGATGACAAGTGTGAGACTGACTTTGATGACATGAAGGGTTTGCTGCCACTTGATCTTGCCCTTGGAGCTGCAGGGTATCTACTTGATCTTTTTCTTGCTGGGACAAATTCCCTTTCCTTGTCTAGCTGAATTGCTAGGGGTAGGAAGTTTATTATAATGCATCCTTGAAACCATTGGGCGTTTTTGGATAGAAGATTATTTGGAAAAATTAGGTAGCATAACACTGTAGCACTTTTTGCAGTATAATGTAAGTGAGATAAAAATGTGGTTGGGATTAGAAAAGGTGGTTGAAATTTGTGTTTATGATGCTAGCAGAAAAATATTTGAAAAAAAAATTTTCCAGATCATTGTAGGCAAACAAACCTGTTGTTTTGAGTCTCCTATAGCACATTATAGTGCGAAGGGCACCCACAATCTTTAGCTCATAGTGTGTTTCACTGTATTCAAGGAAACCAGACACATGTAGACACTTATTGCTATCAAGCATGCTATATATCACGGTAATCCTAAGCCATTTTGCAAGTCACTTGCTACAAGAATTAAGGGTATTTTATGTATAGTACATATTGATTGATTTGGGGATCTTCTAAGAATAGAAGCGAACACCAAACAAAGTCATTGACCTTCACAATGGCACAGTTTAAGGCGCAAGTGCCAGATGAGGACTAGGTCTACCGTTGGCTATTAACAACTGTGCTCGCAAACTTATCACCTTCGTTTTGTGTAGGTCAGGCATATGGATCGATGGTTGGACCTGGAGGGATTCAATCTTCAGGCTCATTTATAGTCTTTGTAGGGCGAGAAAGGTTTTTACTGAATATTGTTGGGCATTTTTGCTTTCTTCTGGCTTTACATTGTCTGATTGAGTAATTTTTTGGCAGAGATTTGCTTTAGAAATTGTTAGACTGCTTGCACAAAGGACAAAGTCTGTTAAGGAAGAATTGGTTCATTCTGTTAAGAATCGCAAACTCGTTGCAGTGGCTGCTCTTCTGATGGTAGCCCATAAAAGAGTAATGCCTTTAAAACTTTCCAAGGAAGCACATGGCCTTCCTTTAGATGAAGTGATTCATATTGAGGATCTTGTGGCAAACGAGATAACAGTTTTAGATATGCTTCAAAGGAGATCCTTGTATGCAAAGTTGGATAATGAGCTGCTTCAGAAATGGAAGGATAAAAGGCTCACAATGAAGATGATATTGCTGTTATTTGGCATATTTGAGCGGATTGGTGATTCTTTGGGAGCATGTCTCCAATTAGATCCACGTCAGGTATAGCTTCATACCTGTTAGGTATTATTTGCATTTCCCTTTCTCTGGAGATATGCTCTGGTTGGTTGGCATAGCCTTTATCAACTTTTTCTATGTGGCTCCTAGTAAATGTTACCATGGGATTTGGTATGTTATTACGCTTGCTTTACAACTTTCTTAAGTATTGCAGATTTCTTTTTGTCACTCATAATCAATGCTGCCCTGGTTTAGTGTAGGAAAAATAACTGACTGAGAGACATATTGCCTTGAAAGTTACTGCCTACATACCTAACCTTCCAAACTTGACAGTATATCTTCATTCTTTTATCCAACAACTTAGGCATAATTAGACTTGGACAATTGCATAAATCTTGTGTCTTAGATAGTAACAATTTAAATTTATGTGTAATGGTGTTTGTGATGCAAGAAGAGTCCTTGAATGTAACGTATTATAGTTTTGTCATTTGTTTCAGTCACCTATGTTTCTCCTATATGAGAAAGAATCTAGCTTTAATCTTGAAATAATTTTGTTGCTGTCCATTTCTATTGATTTGACCAAGAAATGCGAATTAGGTGTTTTTTAAAACTTTACTGTAGATGTATTTGGAGAAAATTTTGTTTATGTCATATTTTTGGGTGTTTTTAAAATTTTAAAATTCTTGAGGTGATATTAACAATTTTGAAGATTATCCTCCTCCCCTTAAATTTCTCCCCACCCTACCTGCCACTTTCCTCCACCCCCCCTTCCCTCCCCTCTCTCCCCCCTCCGTTGCCCACTCCTCCTCCTCCTCTGCCCCACCCCGCTCCTCTGCTGTCCCCCTTGCCCGCCAGAGGAGGATGGGGGGAGCGGGGTGGAGCAGAGGAGGAGAGGGGGGAGAAGAGTGGGAAGAGGGAGGAGAGGAGGGGGGAGGAGGGTGTGGCGGGCAGGGGAGGTGGTGAGAATTTGGTGGGAGGGAGATGGGTGGTGGTGGTTGAGGAAGAAAGGCTTATTTGTTTCATTTTATTTATTGTTCTTGGTTTGATAATTTTTGGTTTGTTTGAAAGGTGTATTGGGTTGTTTTTGGAGTGTGTTACTGTAGACTTGTATTTGAAAAACTAGGGCCTCTGCTTGGATTGGGGATTTTTTGAAAAACTTGTTTTTCAACTACTATGCTACAGTAATAGACAAACAAAAACAACCTCAAAAACAATTTCAAAAATACCAAAAACACAAAAAAAAACCTCAAAAACATAAAAAAAGAACTTCACAAACACCAAAAACAAGAAAACAACCTTAAAAAACACAAAAAATACCCTAAAAAATAACCTCATCTACAGTAAAAGTTTTTCAACTACATTGCTACAGTAAAATATTTAAAAAACACCCCCAAAAACAGCTAATCCAATCTTTCATTAGATAGACATTCTGGTTTGCATTATGGTTCTTTCTGTTAATTATATTAGGCTCTTAAGTTTACCTTTTGCATCATAGATGCGTAACTTTTTTCATGCATTCTTTTCAGACTGATGATAAATTGGCTGCACAGATTGCCTGGATCTTCAAGAAAGCAGGATTGCCTGTGAAGGATAGAGACATTTATGGCGTTCGCAGGTTCTGGTGCTGTTTGTGCCTTTGTTGTTTTAGGTTGTTTATTGCATAGCCTTCTACCAACTTCTGTCAAACCAGCTGTCACGTGTCAACTGGAGTTCTTGAGAGGGATTTATGCCCTATCTTGAGTTCTGATTTGTGTCCGTTTGCATTCAGATGTGCATGTTGTTCAACCATCTAGTCTGTTTAACTGAACTTAGGGTTGTATAATGTCAATTAATATGTCAAAATGCCCTAGCAGCTCTGTTGTCCGGACTCTTCAATTGCCCTGCTCCTATCCATATCAGACTTTTCATTTTGCACTGTAGTATTGCTGTGGGTGGGACTCCATAGCCTGGTCCTGGTAACATAGCCTACCAGTTCTGACAATATCCTATTTACTTCCTTTCTTCTTAACTATAGTAGAGAGAGGCCACGCAGGCTACTATGTGCTCTACTATCCTGAGATCAAATTGTTAGTCAAGGAGTGGATTATCATGAGCTCAACCCTTGTAGGTTCTGTTTGGCCTAGCTTCCATGGAATGCAAGTCCTGACTTGCGTTTTGATAATGTAACTATATTCCAGAGTTATGAAGGAAACTGATAACCCATTTACAGCAAATTCTCCAACTTATAGCATTCTATATGTCTTTGGAGAAGAAAAAGTTTATATGCTTTTTCATGGGTGAAAAATATATAGGGACAATGTTACTTGATGCGATAAAGTTTTTATCTTGAAATGAGTTAATTGTTAATAATTCAAGATTAGCAGATAAGCTTTTGTCCTCATTTTGAATTTTTCTTTTTCAAAACAAGCTAATCATATCCCAAGATAATTTAGCAATATTATGTTTGAAAAATTGAGGCAATAAACTTGGAAGAGGGTTATGAAAAAGAGAATAAGCTAATTATTCTCATGCTGAAGTCAATTGGAGGGTAATTGTTCCCATGAGTTTTATTATTTGTTCTTAAATTTTGTCTTTTTCCTTTTATGTTGTTGGAATTTTGTTCTTTTTTCTTTTTAAGGAAAAAAATTGTTGTGCTAAGGTTTTTTTATGTCTTAGACGACAAGTCCTAGGACCTGGGATGGACTTCTGGACTCCTATGAAGTGCTACATTGGTATTAAATTTTTAAGCTAAGCTGTACCAGGACATACTATGGATTTCTGGAAATGTGATTACCATATGAAGCCCATATATCACAGTTCACATCTTGCTCAGTAGCCTTTCTTGTAGCATAACCTAAAACATTTTTCTCTTTCCAATGCCCTTTCTCTTGAGCCTTTACATGATTTGTGATGTTACTTTAATATTTTTCTCTCTTCCCCTGTCCGTTGTTTTAAGCCTTGATTGACTGCTGATACCTTTTTCCTGTTTGTTACTATCATTGAATCCAGCAAGGGTATTGGTGACAGTCCAGATTGGATAAATGAGCTATGTGAGTGTTGCATTCTTCCCTTTAAGAGAAGTTTTTATGTGGTTTCCAATAATGGCAATTTGCTTGAAGAAATATTATTGACCATTTCGGTTTACATTGTCAGTTGATCCAACAAGGGTTGAGCCAAGCAGTTTCGATGTTTTTGCACTCATGGGCAAAAGGGATTTGGATGAACACAGGATAGAAGTTCCTAAAGTACAGGTATCATCTCAAGTACATGACAGTGTTAACTGTTTTTTGGTGTGATCTTTAGCCAGCTGGTGCACTTATCAGACTCTCTGTCATAAATGATACATCAGTTTGATGCCTATATCTCTTTTTATTTGTCAAATCATCTAAAGACAGTACTAGGAAAGTCAAATTTAGCTGCTATTTTAAGGCAGGTTTTTTCTGTGTTGATGGAAATCACTAGTTTTAGTGTTTGGGTGTAGCGTGTTGTAAGAATCACAGTTTACGACTTTACAATACATACTGTGTTGTCTATGTTAAGAATTATATCTCCTGCATTAAAAAACTAATTATTAGATGATGTTGCCTTCTACTAGTTGAGCTAATAAACTTGGACAAAGAATAATCTTTACTTGGGATTGGAATTACACTATTGCTTATCAGCAATACATTGAACAAAAATACTGAGCTGCCTTTATCATAAAAATCTTGGACCTCAAAATTATATTTTTGCAAAAATCAAGGTTAGGATGAGTAATATCTGTGTTCTGTTCCTTTTTGGTCTGATAACATGTTTATGTCTCTATCTTTAATACAGATTTGCACTGATCTTAATGCAAGCAATGCAAGCTTAGGCAGCATGACTTTGACACTATTCTTTCTTAAGCTCAAAATCAAACATTGTGTAATTTTCAATTTGTCCTTAACAGGTAGGACATGCACAAAAATGCTGTCTTATGATATAATTAAAGAAAAATTTGCCCATGCTGATTTGCCTGTGTGGATAACTGCACTTGTAATCTGTCAGGGAATGGGATCTGGTTTTGTCACGCTGGTGCAGTAAATTTATAGAATTGTCATACTTTCCATCCATTTTGGGATTTGTTGTACTTTTCTATTTTGGAATGTTCCAAAATTAAGAAGATAAAAAACTTGGGGAGCCCCTAAACTATTATCGTTGTTTACTTTTGGCCTCTCATCTAAATTTTGTTTCTGATTGCTACTTGAACAATTAAAACTGCACACTTTAAGGATTTTCGGTGACTTTAGGCATAAATTTGGCCGTATTCAAAGGATGGAAATCCTCAAAAGAGATAACCCATCAATTTCTTAAGCACACCATTAAATTCTTCTTCACAAATCTTGTGAAAAAAAATTGAAGGGTTATCTTTTTTGAGGGTTTTTGATGCTGATTGCAAAGGTTCAATTATGAATAGACAAAAATGCCTTTTAAGTTTAGCCAAATTTTTGCCTAAAGTCACAGCAAGTTCTTAACGTGTGCAGTTTTAATTGTTCAAGGGCCAATCAGAAATAAAATTTTGATGAGGAGCTAAGAGTAGACAACGGCAATAGGCAATAGTTTAGGGGCTCTTCAGATTTTTTACTCCAAATCACTTTTTAATCACTCGATCACTTTAATTAATCATATCATGTACATATTATTATTTAAATTTAAAATTTTAATTTATAGATATAAAATTGAAAAAAATTACAATAATTACAATCAAATCATATATTTTGGGGGTGTTTTTGAAAAACTTTATTGTAGCAGAGTTTTTAGAGTATATTTTGAAATATTTTTAGAATATGTTTTAAGATATTTAAGAGTAGAAGAGTTTCTAAAATATATTTTGAGATATTTTTTAAAATTTTAAAAAAATTTAAACTAATTTTTAGATTACCTTTTAGAGTATTTTTTAAAAAATTTTATTATATTTAAAAAATTATTTTTTAAAAAACACTCCAAAAAAGGTTCCAAATAGAGCAAATTATTTTTAAAAATAAATGTTTGACAAAATAATTGGGATGACAGAGTGAATATAAAACGTGAATAGCCAGGTCCCAATCTCAATTTCATTTGGTGAGAGAGAAAAAGGTTAAAACCTAAGGGCCAACCTGAACAGAATAGAGCCTGCATGAATTTAGGAGTTCACTAGTTTCTGTTTCTTCTGAGAAAGCATCAAGAAAGCCTCGTAATGCTTAGGCTGTTTTCATAATTTGGCATATTTGAGGAAAAAAAAAGGTCTTTTTTCGGTGATTAAAATCAGGACTCGTTTGACCGGTTTTTGTGGTTTCCACGCCGTCCTGTTTATGCGGTGCAGACAAATTCTACTACCGTCGGAATGGAAAAGGTGTGTTCTTCTCTCTTTGTTCGAGGTTTACTTCTTGAATCTGCTTTTATTGCTTCAATTGAAAGTGTTCTTATGGGGTTCAAGATAAAGTGGGGTTCAATAGATCGAAGCGATAAGACGGAGTGGGACGGTAGCTAGCTTAGTTGATCAAGCCTTTCTTTTGGGAAACATACAATGGTTTCAACTTTTGCTATAAGTGTCATGTTTTCTGCATGCTAGATAGCAAAGCAAACTGAGGAATGTAGTACCTCAGTGAAATGTTCAGCTGCTCACATCTTTTTGTGGGTTTTATTTGTTCCTTTTGTTTACTGATAGTATTTTTTTAAACGGCTGCTGAATTCTTTGAAGGATATATAGTAAACTTAATAACAAAATGTAAGAATATCGAAGGCTTTTAAAATTTTCGATATGTGAATATTTGTAGAATTTTTTCTAACTTCTGGTTATTTTCTTAGTGGTTTATTTCAACTAATACTTTTTATAGTACTTACATATTTAGGGGCTGCTTGGTTAAAGGGTTTGGGAATCACAGAATGAAATAAATCCCTTATTTGTTGCTTGGGTTAAGCCTATTGGAATGCAATTTTTGGAATCATTTCTAAAAAATTGACTTATCCCGTTCCCGAGCAAATTGGGAGGTTTTGGACAAAACCCTCAACTTATTCCTTTAGACAACATTTATGACGGACCTACCCTCTCTTTCTCTCCATCACACGCCGCACCTTCTGTTCTTTTTCTTTATCAGATTTCCTATCTCTTCTTCTTCATCATATAGTCTTCATCTCTTATCCAAAATTTCTTCTCCGTTGCCTCTGCAATTTTCTTCTCCGTATGCCAGCTTTTCTCTTCCTTCTTCTCTATTTTTTCAGGCGACTCACTGGCTAGCTAAAAATAAAAAAGGAAAGAAGGGAATCTGACACAATAACACTAACTGGACCAAAATGCTATGCTCTGGACCCATCACATTCTCACTTTTATTCCACTCACGCTACTCACTGTGTTTTCTTGCATTAAGCATTCAATGGAAGCTCAGAAATAAAAGGTCAATCGATTCTTGATCTTTTGGTTATTTGATCCATGAATACTGGTATAGTTTGGGTGGGCTTCTGGTTGCCTTGTACCTGTTTGTAAAATTGTCTGCCTGAATACCTTTCAGTTTCATTAGTTATGGGCATTAAATACAAAACCTGCCAGTTTCCCATAAAGAGCTGGTATGTTATGGGCAATTTCTTTTTTTTTTTTTAACTTTCACATATTTAATTTATGTTAAATACAAAACATACTAGTTTTCCTTTGGGCGCAATTTAACTAATTTTTCCCATAAAGAGTTGGTATGTTTCCCATAAAGAGCTGGTACAAAACATACTACAAAACCTACCAGTTTTCCATAAAGAGCTGGTATGTTATGCGCTATTTAACCAATTTTTCATATTTAAACAAATTTATGACAATTAAAATAACGTATTTGAAAGTTGCATTTTTATTTGGAAAAATGCATTCCTTGGATGCGTTTTTCACCCTTTGGGAAGAGATTCAAAAATCGCCACCATTTGGGAAGTTAGTTTAAAAACTCCATTTTTTTGGGAATTCACTCCTTGTTAATGCAGCCACTATATTTATTTTCTGGTATTAATTTTTTTTATGATTTATGATTTTCTTATGTTTTATCAAAAAGTTAATAACTATTGTAGTTACAATTATGGAGATGTTAATTTGTCGTATGTGTAATTCTTTTGTTTTATAAGAATTGTTATATCAGGGGTAAATTTGAAATTTAATTGCATTTAATTCCGAAACACTGATCAAATCAAGCATCAGGAATTGGAATGATACTAATTCCAATGTGTGAACCAAGCTAGCTATTGGAATGAAAAGTTTAATTCCAAAACCAGAGTCTATGATTCCATTTCCATTTCCGATTCCAATCTGTGAAACAAGCACCCCTTACTAAAACAGAAACTTGGTCTTGATAAATTTTTTTTTTTCATAAATTCTATGGAAATCAAGAGCGTTAGGACTCCAACACACCAGCGCCAATTCATATAGGAAAGAGAAAACTATGATCATTTTTAGTTCCCTATTGTCCTTCTGAAACTTGGGGTGATCGGAAACAGTTCCCAGCAGTCAGTATGTTACCCACAAGTTGATTTTGAGGTATTTGAACTGATTGGTCAATTTCCTTCGTGGGCTGGCGACTGTTGGTCACCCCTTCCTCTACCCTATTTTCATCTTTTATCTCCCCATATTTGAGTGGTTTCATCTTAGGAGTAAAAGATGCTAGCCACAATGCTTGAAGCATAAACAGCATCTCATGGCATTTGCTATTTTTTTTTAAAGTTATTTCAATATTGATGTAGTCACTGTCTTACTTATGTGTGTCTGTTTATATCTCTGACATTTTGTTTCTTGGTGACTTGACACGTGATTGGTTACCAAGCAGCCTGTCGCCATTTATGATGACCACTTTGCGAAGAGGGCTTCTACTTTTGCCTATAGGTATCAGGGCACAGAAAAGAAGCTGTCGACTTTCTCATACACCTATCATGACGATTTTGGTGAGCCATACGAGCCCTACTTGGATTTGGAGGAACTAATTGAGCGTGCTCTCCTGCATGATGATGTGGATGAATTTACTCCTTTGATAGATGAGTATAAAAGTGCAAAAGATGTGCCTGAATGGGTTTTGACTCAAATGTTTACACTCGATGCTGTCCAATGTTTTACTGCTGCGCTGAATGGGCAAACAAAAAGCAAATTTTGTTTATATGGACATGAATGTTTTTCTGGCTGTAGCAAGCCCCCCCTTTTGCATCTGGCAGCATCATATGCATCTGTTGAAATAACGAAAAAGTTGCTCGCCTGTGGGGCTGGAGCTGGAGTAGATGACAAGTGTGAGACTGACTTTGATGACATGAAGGGTTTGCTGCCACTTGATCTTGCCCTTGGAGCTGCAGGGTATCTACTTGATCTTTTTCTTGCTGGGACAAATTCCCTTTCCTTGTCTAGCTGAATTGCTAGGGGTAGGAAGTTTATTATAATGCATCCTTGAAACCATTGGGCGTTTTTGGATAGAAGATTATTTGGAAAAATTAGGTAGCATAACACTGTAGCACTTTTTGCAGTATAATGTAAGTGAGATAAAAATGTGGTTGGGATTAGAAAAGGTGGTTGAAATTTGTGTTTATGATGCTAGCAGAAAAATATTTGAAAAAAAAATTTTCCAGATCATTGTAGGCAAACAAACCTGTTGTTTTGAGTCTCCTATAGCACATTATAGTGCGAAGGGCACCCACAATCTTTAGCTCATAGTGTGTTTCACTGTATTCAAGGAAACCAGACACATGTAGACACTTATTGCTATCAAGCATGCTATATATCACGGTAATCCTAAGCCATTTTGCAAGTCACTTGCTACAAGAATTAAGGGTATTTTATGTATAGTACATATTGATTGATTTGGGGATCTTCTAAGAATAGAAGCGAACACCAAACAAAGTCATTGACCTTCACAATGGCACAGTTTAAGGCGCAAGTGCCAGATGAGGACTAGGTCTACCGTTGGCTATTAACAACTGTGCTCGCAAACTTATCACCTTCGTTTTGTGTAGGTCAGGCATATGGATCGATGGTTGGACCTGGAGGGATTCAATCTTCAGGCTCATTTATAGTCTTTGTAGGGCGAGAAAGGTTTTTACTGAATATTGTTGGGCAT